GCATTATAATGCCGTGATGTTATAATAAATGACATTATAATAATATAACTGCTTTATATTGACACATTATTTATTTATTGTATTTATTATTGTTTGTATTTCCACTTTTATTATTCTTTTATTGGTTTATTTTTTTGATTTGGCGCTCTCACTGCTCCGTACATAACAGAACAATATCTGAGACAAGATAAGTGTTAAAAAGAAAAAAGAAATAATGATACAAATATTGTGTACATAATCCTGAACGTTGTCCAATAATAAACATCATATGTATTGATTCCACTGCTCTGGGATCAGTTTCAACAGCCTGTATCCTTTACATATCCAGGTGCTCTCTGACCATGTCCTGTCTGCTTAACAAGGTCCATTTTCATTTGTCATGATACAGCCATTCTTTATATCATATAAACCCGTTTTAACCTCAGCTGGTGATTTAATGTTCTTCTAATTTGCAGTGACCGTTTTATATTAATATATGCAAAGTGTACCTTTGGTCAGTGTTGAAAACATCGACGCCGAGTAGATAAAACTGAACACGTGAAGGGATTTCTCTGAATGTTGCTTTAATTACTTGTCAGACTCTCCGTGTTTCAGGACAGTGATTAAATAACACGAATCCTCAACATATATCGCTTTTGAGTTTCTATTCACATTTTTTTCTTGGCAGGAAAACCCCACTGCAACCCTGGAGGACCTGGAGAAACCTGGAGTAGACGAGGAGCCTCAGCACGTCCTGCTTCGCTACGAGGACGCCTACCAGTACCAGAACATCTTTGGTCCTCTGGTGAAGCTGGAGGCCGACTATGATAAGAAACTCAAAGAGTCACAGGTGGACAAATACTTAATGAAAACACTTAGCTTCATAGTTAATGAGTAGTTTTATGCAGAATAAATAATCAATCAGCCGTTTGTTACAGTTGTTGTTGGATTTAGTTTGTTTTCTGGAGATCAAGGTTTTTCTTTCCTCTTGTATGTAGAAGTTTAACTAATAACTTTGTAGGAGTCAGCATTCTGCCTTTTCATTCCCTACAGCAGCGTGCCGGTGTTGTTGTCGGTAATATCTGGAAAGTTGTTTTCGTGATGTCCACCAGTCTGAGTGTCGCTCTGCTTCTCTACAGACACAAGACAACATCACCGTCAGATGGGACTTGGGCCTGAACAAGAAGAGGATTGCTTATTTCACACTTCCCAAAACAGACTCTGGTATTTATTTGTCATTTTACTTCCAGTTCAGCGCCACAGTTTTGTCAAAATTTTACCTGTTCCTATGCTCTTTTTAATTAAAATGGTAAATCATTTACTCAAATCTTGTACATACGTTTGAATGTTGTTTTTTGGGGGGAAAAGGGTCCTTTGCTGTGGTTGAAGAGTGTTTTTGTTCTGGTCATGTCTTGTAGATATGCGCCTGATGCAGGGAGATGAGATCTGCTTGAGGTACAAAGGAGACCTGGCCCCTCCGTGGAAAGGCATCGGACACGTCATCAAAGTGCCCGATAGTATCCTCATGGCTGTTCACAGACCAACTGCTTCCAACAGGAGACCTCATGTCACTTTATCAGGCAGTGAAACGTGGATTTTTAGCAACCTCTAGTGGCAGCTTGGGAGAACTACAACAATATAAGCAAACTTGTGTTTTCCTCCAGAGTCTCCAGTGGGATTAGGAAAGCTGCTCCTATATTTAGACTTTGCTTATGGCGGCTCACCTGTTAATTGTTAGTTACTGTGAAGTCAAAACGGACTCATGTCAGCTGACTGAGTCGGTGCTGAAACACCAGAACATGCACGGGCCTCATTCTGAAGCGTATATTTGATACTGAGCTTTGTGTAGCTACGATTAGCATTAGCTGCCTCTGTAGTTTGCGAACACATCACGCAGAACTCTGGATCTCTGAAGCTGTTTGTCACGTCAAAACTCTCCGTCTTCGTAACTCGTTTTTGATGCAGTTATCAGAACCAGAATCAGAATCAGACGTATTGCCAGATATAGTTCACACAATACAAGGAATTAGTTCTGGTGGGTTGGTGCAACCATAAATACAGAGTAAACAATAAATATACAGTAAAGCAAAGTAACTAAAAATAACTGCAAGAGTGCAAAGAGTGAAAGTTAAATTTACATAGGAACCATCGAACGGTGTTGTTATTTACAGGAACACTGAGGGTTCTGATGCACTGGTGGGCCGACACCCTCAATGTTCTGTTCAGTATAGAGGAGCAGCTGCCTGTTCGTAAAGCTAAAGTCTGAGCTATATGTTTACAGTGCTTATTAACCAGTCACTGCCTCACAAGCTCCAGTTCTATGTTCTCCAGTAGCCTAGCAACCACATTTCGTTGAGTTTTTGTGCAATGACAATAAAGAAAGTCTGAGTCTGAGCTAAATAAATCGCTGCTCACGCAACAGACCAACTCTGGCATTAATGTCTGCTCTCAGCTGCTTTAAGTTTTTCACATTGAAAAGGTGCCATATAACAGCTGGAGTGTATTCGACGTCCTGTACTTCCAGCGACACGCGTGTGAATCACTACAGAACATATCCGGGCGCTGTTCCTTCACCATCTCACTCAGACTACGGTGATGAGATCGCCATAGAGCTCAGGAGCAGCGCCGGGGCTCCAGTGGAGATCCCTCACAATTTCCAGGTGGACTTTGTGTGGAAGTCCACTTCCTTTGACAGGTGCTCATGTTGATGTCTTTTGTGATCCATGTAAACACAATGTTCTGTGTCAGTTATGTCGAAGCAGGTGACGCTGAAACGTTCAGTGTTGGTGTCTGTTTTTGCTTCTCCATCATCCAGGATGCAAAGTGCTCTGAAGACATTTGCTGTAGATGAGACCTCAGTGTCTGGTTACATCTACCACAAGCTGCTGGGACATGAGGTTGAGGACGTAGTCATCAAGTGCCAGCTGCCCAAACGCTTCACCGCTCAGGGCCTGCCCGACCTCAACCACTCCCAGGTGAGTAGGAGTGACAACACCTAAAATCACTCCGACTTAGCGCCTGGCTTCCTCGGTTTTGTCCTGTCAGGGCTCACATGAAAGCTGTTTGTGTCAATGCAGGTTTATGCAGTGAAAACAGTGCTGCAGCGCCCCCTCAGTCTGATCCAGGGTCCTCCTGGCACAGGGAAGACGGTCACCTCTGCCACCATCGTGTACCATCTGGCTCGACAGGGCAACGGGTAGGAGACTCTACAAGACGGTGTTTGCCTTTTGTTATGTGTGGGCTGGCTCTGTGACGATAATGACCATGGCTGTTTAGGTCATTTACTCATTTAGCTGAACTTTCAACCTTTCCGTAAGGTTTTTATGATCTTCGTCCTGATTGAAATACCTCAGTCAGCCCACGGTGTTTGAAGTGTGTTATGGTCCCTGTTGTCCCTCCAGGCCGGTGCTGGTTTGTGCTCCCAGTAACATTGCCGTGGACCAGCTGACTGAGAAGATCCACCAGACGGGGCTCAAGGTGGTGAGACTGTGTGCAAAGAGCAGAGAGGCCATAGACTCACCTGTGTCCTTCCTGGCACTGCACAACCAAACCCGCAACATGGACAGGTAGCACACCGCCAGCTGTGATGTGTTGGGGGACTGACATGTGTTCACTTCTTTAGAAAGACTTACTGTTAATTTGTTGGTAATGCTAATGAATAAGACCTGTCCAGGTGAACCTGCCTTCACCCTGAGTCAGCTGGGATAGGCTCCGCCCCCCATAGTGAGGATTAAGGTGTAGAGATGATGGATGGATGTTAATGAATAAAACCCAACAGAAGTAGAGGGCTTTCCACCGTTGGTCTGGAGCAGTGGTTCTGAAAACAACACAGCTCCAGTTATGTTTGATAACAATAACTTTAATAGGACCAAAGAATAGCAGCAGCTCCTCTGAGGACCGCATTGGCTTGGATTTGGGCTAACATTGTGTAGAAACAAACAGAAATCCACGAAGCACAAACACCGTCATCGTGTCCTGAACTGATCCCAGATCTGTTTTTAGAAGGACTTGTTACAGACTCAAGTCTTTGCTCACAAACACAGCACTGATCTCACACTGTGATGAATGGCTTCGTCCCTGCAGCATGCCAGAGCTTCAGAAGCTCCAACAGCTGAAGGATGAGACTGGCGAGCTGTCCTCCTCGGATGAGAAGCGCTACCGAGCTCTGAGACGCACTGCTGAGCGGGAGCTGCTCATGGTATGGCCACAAAGGGACTTTCTGAAGTACTGACTGAATATTTCCTGTTTATGACAGGAGCAGGCATCATACGCTGTTGAGATTTTATTGTCAAGTTTGTATGCTAAGCGCTAGAAAATGTGATTTGTCTTTGTGATGTTTCTGTGTTAAATGAAACAGCAGGTGAAGTCAGTGTCTCTGTAGAGAAACTCATCGTGGTCTGGCTTGTCTTTCCCAGAATGCTGATGTGATCTGCTGTACCTGCGTCGGTGCAGGAGATCCTCGTCTGGCCAAGATGCAGTTCCGATCAATCCTGATTGATGAGAGCACCCAGGCCACAGAGCCAGAGTGCATGGTGCCCGTCGTCCTGGGAGCCAAGCAGGTGGGAGCCATGGTTTGGTATCAGCTACCTGCTCAGACTGTCTCCACTCTGCACTGTCATCAAATTATTAGTTTAGTCTGTTAAGCTGAACCCTTTGTCACCTGTTTTCCTCATAGTTGATTCTAGTGGGCGATCACTGCCAGCTGGGTCCTGTGGTGATGTGCAAGAAGGCAGCTAAAGCAGGCCTGTCCCAGTCCCTGTTTGAGCGTCTTGTAGTTCTGGGGATCCGCCCAATCCGTCTGCAGGTCCAGTACCGCATGCATCCGGCCCTCAGCGCCTTCCCCTCCAACATCTTCTACGAGGGCTCTCTGCAGAATGGAGTCACTGCCGGTGAGACGAGAAGAAGCTCTGAGATCTGACTGTGTTCTTCTCTGGTGTTTGTTCACCCTCTGTCCAGGTTTCACCATGCAGCTCTTGAAGCGAGGGGCGGCAGCACGTTTTTGGCGTCATTGGTCAAAAATTCCACACAAACCTCTCAGCATATTGGAGTTTAAGTGTCTCAGAGGAAGCTTCACTTCTGCATCTCTACCTTCCTCAGTGTTCGGGCTTGTTACTGATCACACAAACGTCACCTGGTGGCGCTGGTTTACATCCTTACTGCTCCCCACACAGATGGCCTGTTACTCCTCTTACTATCTGTGTTTCAGAAAAACTGCAAGCACATAGCAAACGTGCCTCCTGTTCATTTAAAGAAGTAGCTTGTTGTTACACGTTTGTTTTAGCCTCCTGTATTATTTCATATTACCCACCGCATGCACCGGTCCTGACTCGTGTGTCTGCTCTTCCCTCAGCGGACCGGGTGAAGAAGGGCTTTGACTTCCAGTGGCCACAGCCCGACAAGCCCATGTTCTTCTATGTCACCCAAGGCCAGGAAGAGATTGCGAGCTCTGGAACATCGTATCTCAACAGGTTTCAGCTTACTCAGACATCATGTTTATCCTTCGGCCTCTTATGAAGAAATATGTCTTCACATTTCAAGTATTTGACAGGCTTCGTTTTTCTCGTTCACAGTCAGGACATGCACTCACTCCAGGAACTGAATAGCGCTCAGATGTTGAGTCAGGTTTTATTAGTGTCTCTGTTATGCCAGCTGTGTAAAACAGGCCTCTCCTTTCCCTCACCATACTGGTTAATGCAGGACAGAGGCAGCCAATGTGGAGAAGATAACCACGAGGCTGCTGAAGGCTGGAGCTAAACCTGACCAGATTGGCATCATCACGCCCTACGAGGGACAGCGGTCCTACCTGGTCCAGTACATGCAGTTCAGTGGCTCCCTCCACACCAAGCTCTACCAGGTAGACTGTGAGCTTCAAGACAAATTTGAATGACTGAAACACTTGGGATCACATCATAGCTATGTTTAGACTTTGAGAAGGATGAAATGACTCAACTCTTGGAGTTGGATAACTAGTAGACAAAAGGCCACAAGTCGGGCCGCTGCTTTAGCTCACCTGGTTGAGCTGGCAACCCATGAACAGGGGCTGTAGTCCCCGATGCAGCGGTCGTGGGTTTGAATCCCGCTCATGGCCCTTTGCTGCAGGTCCTTCCCCCATTCTCCTCCCCCACTTCCCTGCCTCTCTGTCTCGACTGTCCTGTCTAATGAAGGCAAAAAGGCCAAAAAATAACTAGAAAAACAAAAGGCCACGTCCATATCACCTGTCACGTTAATACCAGATTTATCCTAACAAAAGGAATCCCGCCCACCACATGTCTCTTCACACCTTGTGCAGGAGGTGGAGATAGCCAGTGTAGATGCCTTCCAAGGCAGAGAGAAAGACTTCATCATCCTGTCCTGTGTGAGGGCCAACGAGCACCAGGGCATCGGCTTCCTCAATGACCCCAGACGCCTCAACGTGGCGCTCACCAGAGCCCGGTAACAGCAGCACAACGCCCCGCTTTTCCTCCACTTTCTTTGATAGCATTTCTGATATGCTGCTTGTGAAGGCTTTTAGTCTGTAAATCATTAATAATGTGGTGCTTTGGCCACACAGGTACGGTGTGATCATTGTGGGAAATCCCAAAGCCCTGTCCAAGCAGCCTCTGTGGAACCACCTGCTCAATTACTACAAGGAGCAGAAGGTCCTGGTTGAAGGGCCTCTGAACAACCTGAGGGAGAGCCTGATGCAGTTCAGCAAACCCCGCAAGCTGGTCAACACCATCAACCCTGTGAGTTCAGAGTGTTTGTGTCTGTCACATACATGGTGCTGAGATGAGGAGTTGTGTAAGTGGGTCATGTGTGGTTATTTCCCTGTGGGACATGAGAGATGTGAGACATGACTTCGAATTTACTTGTATACCTTAAAAGAAAGCAGTGTAATAAATCAGTGCCAGAATTAATGAGCAGTGTCCTACAAACATAAAGTGCGTGTTCTTGTGTTGTGCAGGGCGGGCGATTCATGAGCACAGCCATGTATGACGCCAGGGAGGCCCTGATTCCTGGATCGGTGTACGACCGCAGCAGCAACGGTGAGACCTCCTTCACACAACACCGCACCTTTTCTTTAATCTATAGAATCCCAGTCATTACCAGCATAGGCCACTGATGCACATATACTGGCTCTGCCCGTCTGCTACCGACAGGTTTTACCTGCTCTCTGGGAAATGATGCTTCACAAGACAGTCAATATGATTCATGTGTGCATCCTTCTCCTGCAGGCCGTACGTCCAACATGTACTTCCAGACTCATGACCAGATCGGTATGATCGGCACAGGCCCCAGTCCCATGTCCTCCATGAACATCCCCATCCCCTTCAACCTGGTGATGCCCCCTATACCTCCACCTGGGTACCTGGGGCAGGTCAACGGTCCCACTGCAGGTGAGAAAGTCATGAAACTGTACGACTCACGCTGACTTCATGGTTCTTAAGTTCATCAATTCTGAAACACTCGATTGAATTGTGACTTCATTTTGGTTCAGGTCGTGGTGGAGGCATGAAGGGCAAGTCAGGCAGCGGAGGAGGTGCCGGGACTCGAGGTGGCCGCCAAAGGAACCGCGGCAACATGGGAAACCACGGCGGAGGAGCGGACCGCGGCCACATGTCCGGCAGCCAGGCCAGCCAGGACCAGGGCTCCCAGCCGTTCTCCCAGGGGCCTCTGACGCAGGGCTACATCAACATGAGCCAGCCGTCACAGATGAGCCAGCCGGGGCTCTCCCAGCCTGAACTCTCCCAGGTTGGTTCACCGTATGAGCAGTAAGCAGGTCTAGGAAGTGTATGTAGGAAGCTGTCTGTAGTCTGTTAGTCCTCAGGGTCGTAGCTGTTTGCACTCACAGGACGGCGTAAAGGTTTCAGGCACAAAAAAATCAAATGTGGTTTCACTGAATCAGTGTGTAGCGTGACCGCTCTTTGACTTTAGAACAGCACTAATTCTCCTCAGTACACATCGTTTACAGTTTGTGGAGGTGCGGGGCAGGTGGGTTGTTCAGAGCCTCAATTCAATTCAATTCAATTCAATTTTATTTGTATAGCGCATATTTACAACAACAAGTCATCTCATAGCGCTTCACAAAGGCAGAGACAGAAACACCCAACAGTCCAAAACATTTGGATTCCCTATAAGCTTCAGCAAGCAGTCCGCAACAGTGGGAAGGAACCAAAAACCCCCACAGGGGGAAAAAAACCTTCGACAGAACCAGGCTCAGGGAGGGACGGCCATCTGCCTCGACCGGTTGGGTGGATGTAGGATGAATTATACAATTTAGTTTACAGTTAAACCTCCTGAGAACTGACTGAGTAATGTTGGAATCAAGGCTCTGTGGTGCCGAACCGTCTGCTGCACGACTTTATGTTCTCCTATCAATAGAAATAGCTCTTTATGACTTTAGGGCTGCATTTTTGTGGTTATGATTGTGCTTCAGGATATATTTGGGACCGTTTCAGCACGTCCCCGGTGGTTTTATAAGATGAGCAGAAATCTCACCGTCTCAGAGACCTTTGCACAGAACTGTGTATTCCAAGGGCGTGTCCAGGTTCCCTCCTGCTCCAAAAGCATCCACTGTTCTCCCGCCTGGAAAGAAACGAAGGAACAACTGTTGACTGGTCTCTTTCACTTTTGTTTGTCCCGTTATAGGACAGTTACCTAGGAGACGAGTTCAAGTCCCAGATCGATGTGGCTTTGTCCCAGGACTCCACCTACCAGGGGGAGCGGGCTTACCAACACGGCGGCGTGACTGGACTGTCCCAGTACTAGACTGTAAGAAGTTCCACTGTGGGCTAAGCTGACTCACTGAAATTACAGTAACAGTTCGACATTTGGGGAAAATATGCTTGTTTACTTGTCTACAAAGAGTTGGATGAATGATTCCAGTCTCATGTCTGACAGCCAGGAAGCTGGAGCCAGCAGATGTCGTGTTTACACCGAGTTTTTGTGCAGATTGAACATAACGTGTTACATGATGCAGGATCAAACGAACTGCCTGCTGGCTTCAGGTTCATGTCTATAAGTCAGGACAGAGATCTATTTCTCATCGAACTCACGTCTTCAGATAATGAATCATCTGCTGAAATGATTTCTGAATATTTCCTCACACCAGTGCATATGTGTGCATCTGTCTTGCAGGTTGCTGGAAAGGAGCTAGGCCTGTGAGAAGCTTAGTTCATTGGTATTTTAATCTGGGTAATAACAAAAAAGAACAAACATGGATACCCGTTTTCCACTGCTACAACCGAAGCACCACTGTGTGAAAGTAACAGGAGAGAGACCGTGAGAAACCAACCAATCACCAGAGTGAGAGCGAGGCTGGGAGTAGAGCTGGACAGGGAGCGAGTGGGAGGCTGGCAGGGGAGAGGAGGCGCTGCTGCTCACCCGCCAAGACATGGCGAAGGAGAAAGCTGTCGTCCTCGGAGCGGCGAGACCTCGGACAGGTCGAGGAGGGTGAACGATCTGAGCGACTCTGGAGAGGAGGGGAGGAGGGAGAGGGGGCGACTGTGTCATCTGGTTCCTCGTGAGCCCCTGAACCCTCGGAGACCTCCAGGCGGGGTGGTTGGGAATCTTGCTCCAAAAGCTGAGAAAGATGGAGAAGAGGTGTCTCACGCTAAAAGTCCTCCGAGCTAACTCAACAGGGACGTCTTCTGTGACTTGGAGCAAGAGAGAAAACAAACGGAGACACAACTCTTGAAGCAGTTGATATGGCAACTTTTTTAAACTCAAAGCTTGAACCGAGGCTCTTTATTTGATCACATCTAAGCATCCAGGAGAAGTGTTTGGCATTTCAGGAGAACTCAGAACGGGCTTGCGGGTGCTGTGCCTCAAAGAGTTTAAATGAAATTCTGAGGATTACACAGTCACGGGTTATTTGCTTTTCTTTCTCAGCTTTGAGTTGGAAAGTTTTCTGAATAAAGGCTGTTTTCATTGAGGTTTCAGTGATGTGAGCTAGCGTAGGCGGCCGTCTTTCTCTAGGTGGTCTGCAGAGAAGTGGTGGAATTAGCTCTTAAAAAGAAAAAAGAAAAACATCTTTGTCTCCACGTCTGAGCTCCAGAGATCTGCAGATAGTGAGACAATCTTGTTTTTTTGTTCTTCTATGTGTCTTTTTTCGTAGTGCAAAAGGATGAAAGCACCATAACCAGCTTAGGACTGAAGCAAGCTGTCACTGTGTTCTGCTGACCCTGAAGCCACTAAAGCTCACAGATACAATCATCTGGAGCGTATCGCCGCTAAACGCATCTAATCAGCCAAATCAAGAGGGCGGGACTCCACAGAGACCCCTGCCCTAAAGTCATACGTCAAAAAAAAAACAAACAATGCAGACAGATTATTAATGAAACCTGATGGTCACATGACAGTGAGACGAGGAACGATGAGTCTTCATGAGTTCCTCCAGAGCTTCTAAGGGCCCATCTGAGAACAAACGTGTTGAAGAGAAACTTCACCTCGTTGGTGAAAGATATCCTGAGAAGCATTCGAAGTGAACATGTAAAGTTTTCTGTATGTTTGGTAAATCTGGCATCTGAATAAGAGGTACAGGTTATGACCCAGTTTGTGCAGGTAGAACCCACAGAATGCCTCTTCTGTGTTTTTTTCTCTCTCTAGTTTTTGTTCTTTGTTGTCCTAAAAAGTCGTGATAGAAACCGTCGTGCAATCATGTAGAAGACGAGCCGTCGGTTTGCTCGACATCGTCAGTGGACTTTGTGTTCCAGGACTGTTGTAGGTCTCACACTAGTGACGTGAACACGTAGCTGCCATCATCTCACCGAACCGTGGGTTTTCTTGTGATTCTGAAAACTTTTAAAGAAACGTCTTCAGGACTGCTCTGAATAAGTCGTGTGTGTTTGAGTCACCTCCTGAAGAGTGCTCAGACTGCCAAAGAGAGAAAACAGCCACCTATGAGTGTGTTTGTAACCCCACAGGTCACCACGTTCATGTTCATGCTGTTGTCAGTGTGAGTTCTGAGTCTGTGTTCCAGCCCATCTGCACGCTGACACCAGTCCGAGCACCCGTACACTCTATGATCACACATTATCCTCCTTATGAAGCAGTGACCAGGCGGCCTGGCCCGTCCCTACTCATGTCCTGTTTTGCATGTGCTGTGACTTGAGGGGAACTGGGCGGCTGTTGTCCTTCTGCTGTACTTTAGCTCTGATCATCTCATGTGGCTTCACTGCTCTTTAAACTGAACATGTTTGGTTTGGATTTTATTTTCTTCTGCCCACTAACTGATGTTGTTTGAAACTGTGCTCACACACACACACACACACACACACACACACAAACAAAAAAAAACTCCTGTTGTTAATCTTGGAAAATTAAAGTTTGCTTCTTTTTGCTCCTGCAGCCTGGTTCCGGTGTGTTCATTTCTGGCTTCTTGCAGCCGAACCGGTTGTGGTGTGACTCTTCTTCTTTTCTTCTACTTCTTCTTTTTAGGTCATGACTTTTCCTTTGGGGGCAGTAATTCATGACAGACTTTTAGAAGTGGCAGAGCTGTTAGGCTGGCTTTGCGCCGTGCACACATGCGGGCTCATTGGCTGCAGGCGGCTTGACACACATCGCGCGGCTCATACAGCTGGAGCCGCAGCGCAGCAGGTGGACTCTGCTGCCGGCTGCTGATGCGCTCCGCCGGCTGGACGAGGAGCTGAAGCCCGGGAGGAGAGCGGAGAGGTCTGAGCATCCGGGAGCTCATAGGTGACAGGAGAAACAGCCCTCCTCCTCCTCCTCCTCCTTCGTCTTCTTGTGGCCGGACAAAGATGGACTCGCCCCGGCCCGCGGTCACTTCATCCATCCGGGTGAGCGGCGGCGCCTCCTCCGCGCTGTGAGCGTCGGGGCTCCGCGGGCTAAGCGGTCCGGTGCTCGGCGCAGGACGGTGCTGCAGCAGCAAGCAGACGGGCTGCGTGGAGCTCCTTGCGGTGAAACCCTCCCTCCCTCCCTGGAGAATAAAGCAGAAAAGAAGGCATCTGGAAGCTCAGAGTGAAGGAAAGAGGAGACGGACCGGGACGGCGGCGCGGAGGTACCGGTACATAACGGACTCACCGGGGTTTCACACCGACATGGGGTGAGTGAGGCTCTGGTTCTGATAACAGCAGGCTGGGAATGAAAACTGAGGGCAAACATTGTGTTAAAATACGGAAAACTCAGTGATGTGTGTCTGTTCTTGAACATACTTGTTGGATGAATACATGCGTCTCGTTCTGACTCTGTAGAAAAGAAGTCTCAGGAAGCCTGTAAGATGTATCCTCACCACAGAGAAAGGTAAGAACATCCTGGACCCGGTCCTGGACCCTTCCCACCCCTCCACACACATGACATGTTGGGTTGTTGCCATTGTGACCTTGGGATGCCAGACACAGCAGCAGCACAAAGTTCGCCTTCACTTGTAAAATAATCAAATCCAGCAGCAGCACATCTGGACTCTGCTGGACCTGTTAATGAATCGCTTAAATTAAGACCATCTAATTGTCTAATGTTCTTTTTCTTTGCCCCAGAGGCTTTAGATGATTTAACTCCTGGTGATGTCTGTGTTTGGCAGAGAGCAGCCATCAGAAGCTGCTCATGTGTCTGATTTCTTTAACCGGTGTCTAACCACCCAGGCCACACTATAATCGTGTGTTTCTGTTGTTCTGCTCCAGCGTATGAGTGTTAATCTCTAGTGTGTTGGCTGCTGTACTTCAGATGGATTACTTCCACAAACAGCCCAACAGAACCACTTACTGCGTTTTAGCGCCAGTAGAACTGGAGGGTCTGCAATAGAGGAATGAAATAACGGCACATTCATTACATTAATTTAGTAATGAATCAATATGTAACATCTGCCAATACGAGTTGGGTCGGGTTAAAGTGGGCGGACTGTGGATCTGGAATTAGTGGGTTCATCCTGATCACCACCAGGCTTTATTATTAGAGACCCCCATTAAGTAGGCCGCATCCATCTGCTGAGGATGAAGGTCAGGCAGCTGAATGCACACACACACACACACACACACACACACACACACACACACACACAGGTTTACACCAGCAGAGTGTGTTTCAGTTTTCACACACTGGAAACAGCAAATGTTGACACACACACACTCACTACTGCAGCCAGCCGCCTGCCTCTGTTTGTCTGGCTGGTTCCTGCTCCGTCGTGTTTGCAAAGTTTCTCAGGTGGACGCTGTTAGATGCCAGATATTCATCCCCAAGGCAAGGTCAGAGTCCGGCAGTGACGGGTCAACGTGATAATGGAGTCTGGGACCCTCCAACCCTCCCCCACCTTTGTTCAGTGTCCTCCTGGATGTGAAGTGAGGAACATCACTGACCTTCTTGTTTGGGAATATGGGCCTCTGAGGCAAATAAGCATCCTTATCCTTGTAAATCTGGATAATTGATTGAGATTTTTCAGATGATGAGCTAGTTTCAGTTGTGTGTCTGGCAGTAAACTGACTACATTTGGGATTTGGACGGACAAGACAAGGAATATAAAAACACTGCCGTGGGCTTACTGAGCAGCAGAGTTACAGAACAAAGAATCAGTCATTCGACTCAGTACTTAGCCTGCAGTACTTTCATTCTCGTTACTCTTCCTGGTTCCTCTGACGTGACCCGTCGGACCTTTCAGTGCAGATAAGGTTTTACATCAGACTCTCTTCTAATGTGATTGAATCGTATCACTAGAAAGCTGGAGCACAAAGACGTCCCTGGGCCTCGTGTCCTCTCCCAGTCGGACATCGGATCAGCAGCACATCCACTCATACCGGGGGGATTACTGGGAGATGAGGAGGAGAGTTATAGCACAAGTTATGATCAGACTGGAGTGATGTTGAAGTGCTACCTTGCACATCAACGTCTTCAGTCAGTCCTTGAAGCACAGTTCATACAGTGTCTCCTTCTAATTGAATGGTGACACACGGAGAGGCCGTCGTTGGATCTGTGTGTCACTAATGGGGTCAGATATAAATGCACAATGACTGGCCAAAATAATACAGCTCTCTTCGGAAAAGCCTCAGTGATTTACCATCCTGCACTGAAGAAGAAATGTCCTGGTTTTTACTGTTTCATACTTCAACCTGGCACCTCCTCCGGGCAGCGTTTCTGCTGGAGGAAGAAGGCAGCAGAGATCAGAGGCATGAACAGGAGCATTTTATTCTCTCTTTTGTTTTTCCTTTTGATGCCACGTTTACCATCAACACCACTAAAATGAAATGAAATGAAGCTGTTGGGTTTATTATCTGAGAAGAGAAGCTGTACGTTAAGTCACCAAACTTGAGGAAGAAGAGGGAGTTAGAGACTGAGGAAGACCTTCAGCGGTGTTGTTATTCATACCACATGGCGGTGGCTGAACCTCCTCCGAGCACCAGCGACTCTGTTGCTTTGATATATTTACCTCGTATCCAGGATACATCTCTGCAAATCCTGCCAGGAGCAGATCAGAGCGCGGCGGGTGAACGACTCGGGAGAGGGTTCAGAGAGTTCTAGTCGACATCCTCTGCCAGCTTAGCCTGTGCTGCTGGTGAGTGACGCAGGAGAAAGAGTGGGAGAAGGCCAGAGGATGATTCCACATCTGTCCGTGGATGGCAGGCGGAGACGTCCCATCATGACAGGAACCAAGGAGCTCCTTTTTAAGGGAAACAAAGGGGATTTTTGAGCAGAATGGTTTGATGGGAGGCGCTTTAAAGGTTCTTTTGCTCATATCTTGAGCAAAAACACATTTTAGTTTATGCTAAAAGCTTTCTGTCCTGTGTTTAAGATTTGAAACTTCCTAGTCTTTGGGAATTTTTTATTTTTATTTTTTACTTTCATTTTATTCAATAAAAATGCTCATTACATACAGTAGAGGTGAAAACGATTACAGAGCAGGAGAGGAGGACACAAAAAAATGACACTGTGGTTAATTAAAAGTGAAATGAAACAAAACATTCAACACAATCTGAAAATAGACATGAACAAGCCTCGAAAGGTGCAAATGAACTTCCAACAGAAACACAACATACAGCCAGAACTCTCTTTAATTGAAGCACAAAAACGATCATTTCAGTGTCATATCACACGAATCCCACAGCTGAGGATGTATAAGTAAAACAATACGGTCAGTGGAAACCAATAAATATTAACGAATGTCTGAGGACAAGAAAAAACGAAATGGGATGTGTCTCTGGAATACATCGCCTGTTGCTTGTGATCCATGAACCTTGACCTTCCCTTCACAGAGGAACATGTTCTCACACCATCCCTGTGTTTGGTCCTCCAGGGAGCAGCCGATCTTCAGCGCCCGGGCCCACGTCTTCCAGATCGACCCCAACACCAAGAGGAACTGGATCCCTGCCAGTAAACATGCCGTCACCGTGTCCTTCTTCTACGATGCCAATCGCAACGTGTATCGCATCATCAGCGTGGGCGGGACCAAGGTGAGGGTGAGGACAATGATAGTGAATAACATGTACCTGACACCTCTGTCCTGATCAAACATCATTTTCTGTCAGATTGACTCCTACTGTTTGGCTGCAGTGCTGCTGGGGGCCTCAGCAGAGCGGCTCGTAACGGTGCCACAGGTCCAACAAAGAGCAGCTTCACACTGATGTTTCTCTTCATGCTCCAACCAGAAAGTCTGTGAGGTTATGAAACAGGCAGTAAAGTAAACCGCAGCAGCAGCCAGGGCGTCTTTCTGACAGGCTGGGGATTTAGATTACGAGGAGGAGGCCACAACCGGCGCTGGGGGGGCGGGGGCTTGTATCTGATCTCTTCTTAGCACCTCTGGTGTGACCCACATTCCCGCCTCCCAGAAGGCAGTGTGGGAGGCAGTTGGTCGTCCAGCAGCCCGATCCTGCCAGGACTGGCGTCTGGCTCCGCGGTAATCTTACTGCTGCTGCCGCCGCTGTCCAATATATGATGTCAAACATGTCACTGCAAAAACGCAGAGCGCGGAGTTCATGTAATCATTTGTTGGAGGCGAAAGAAGGAGGAAAAAGCTCCTTCCTAAGCTGTCGTTGCCCTGCAATTCTGGGATTTTAAATCAGTTCCATTATTGTAACAGTGGGGATGACGTAAAAAGGTTTATAAATAGGTCTGCTCTAATATTTTCTCTTCATCTGCTAAAGGGGGAATCAGGCAGCTCCAGCCACCTCCCTGAGAATGAGCTGATGAACCTGCTGGATGTCATGTGACTGAGCATCCGCTGCCTTTCTCTTACTTTCATTTGTTTCTGCTCTGAATTTCTTCTCAACAATCAGAGTTTGTCATCATCACAGGTTCTGGATCATGTTGAAAACAGGCTTTTTCTGAAGAACAAACGCGTCTCGAGGGAGCTGAATGGAGAGATACTCTGAAGCACAGACAAACAGAAGTTCTTCAGTAGAACTGTGAAGCATGAAGGTGTCCTGCTGCTGACAGGGGTCATGGAAGCACGTTGTCCAACAGTGACAGGAGATCAATAATTGAAAAATGATTGCTGCATCCTCCAAAGAGTCTCTGTGAGGCTGTGCTTAGAGCTAAATGCTAACAGCAGCAAGCTAACATTGTCCCAGTGACAATGTTGGGCTGACGTTTAGCAACAGTTGCAGATTTACATGTAAAGCAGAGCTGATGGAAGTGTTATCAGTTTCATAGGTGTTAGAGGTGGACAAAGGGAAATTACGACCTAATGATGGTGCTGGAGGTAACATCTGAGCCAAATGTGATGGCAGTTCATCTAATATTAATAGGGACGTGTCACTAAACTCCTAAAATTCTCAACATTATAGAGCCTTCAGCAGGATCGGGGGCTCGCTAGCGTCGGTGGGGACCATCGATGTCTATTTAAGTTCAAGACAACCCACTGATGAAACACTGCGGCCTTGACTGGAGGACGCATTGTCGCGCTAGACACCAACTTAAAGCGACCCGTCCAAGTTGTGTAGGTTGCCCTCATGCTGCCGTAACGAACCAGAACCTCTGCTGGTGTCTGGCAGCAGATCCTCTGGTTCCCGTAGGTCGTGGGGTGAAGCCTCCATCAATCGACTTGTTCTGGCACATCCAGGGTTGGGATCTGGGGAGTTTAGAGGCCTGATCAACGCTTTGGGCTCTTGGTCGTGTTCCTCGAGCTGTTCCTGAGCTGTTTTTGTGGTATGTCGGGGGTATGTTGTGAAGAAGGGGGTGTGCTTAGTCCCATCATCCAGAACCTATCATCCAGAACCCAAGGCTTCCCAGCAGAACGTTGAATGAGATGATCAGTGTTGCACATCTCACCTGTCAGGGGTTTTAATGCTGTGGCTGATCGGTGTAAAGAACTTTAACCCTGTTCAGGGCTGTTGGACTCTTTTGGACCCAGGCCATTTGGTTCAGGTGACAGGTGTTGCTTTTTATTTTTGAAGATTTATTTTTTTTTATATAAAAGAGGGACATTGGTCACGCATTTGGAACCAAAAATATGTCACCTTATCAGAACATGTATTTAACATCGTATAAAGTGTCTGTAATGAACACCAACAGATACTTTGCACGTATTCTTTCTTGGGGTCCAACTGACACCCAAAGACCTTCTACGTACGGAAACATGAAAGTCCTGAATGGAGTTAATTCACAAAGCTTTTGGTGATTCAATCAGTTTCACCTAAACTTGAACTTTAAAAAAATGTGCTTTCAGGGTTGAAACTTTTCATCGTGTAAAAGTACAAAACGTGTGCGAGTGGACGAAGTAAAAATTAATTTATTGGATATTTAATAATCATAGTTTGGACTTTTGTTGTTTGTGCATCTCTTGTCCTAAATGTAAGACTTCCGTTTTTTCCAGGAGATGGCCTGTTGGCGTCGTGTGTTGAAGGCCTGATGACAAACACCTCCACTGATGTTGTTCAGCTGTTTCATCTGGATTCACCTGTCTACTTGTAGAACCATCTGCTTTCCGTACCTGCACCTAAACACATGTCTCTTTCTTGTTGTCTCTGCATCTGCAGGCGATCATCAACTGCACCGTTACACCCAGCATGACATTCACCAAGACGTCCCAGAAGTTCGGTCAGTGGGCCGACAGCAGGGCCAACACCGTCTACGGTCTGGGCTTTGCCACGGAGCAGCAGCTGCATCAGGTAAACGAACCACAGCGCCACTAAACTACTGTCCAGCTCCAGAAGGTCATGGGTGCTGCATCGGTTGTTTTCCACGACGTGAAACGATGTGTGACTTGTCCTCTTTTTGAAAAGTTTGCAGAGAAGTTTAAGGAGGTGAAAGATGCGGCTCGTCTGGCGCGAGAAAAGTCTCAGGACAAGGAGCTGGCCAACACTGCGCTCACCATCGCAGCTCCTCAGGTGAGTTCTGCCCTTTTAGAAAACATGACCGTGAAGGAAGAGCAGCGGGATCGGGCAGAAAGCGTTGATGTAGAACTCTGTCCAGTAATGGGTTTTGGTGGCGTTTTAGGACAGAGGAGATAAGTGCACCTGTATTAGTTCAGCTACTAGAAGGTCCGCTGTGATTGAATCAAAGGAGGGATGGAGAGAGGCAGAGGGAGGAGAGAGAAGCGATAGAAACACGAGCTGGGTCACTCGTCTCGGAGGGAAGCGAAAGTGAGGAAAACTAGGACGGTGGTAAAATTATCCTGTGCTGCTCAGCAGTACGCCGCCTTCACATTCTCCACCCAGAAGCCTCCGACTGAAACTCTGTAGTGATGAAAATGTAGTCGGGTCAGGGCTTCCTGATCAATAATGAGCCGTCGGTCACATCTGCCCGGTCATGAAGAACATGCCCATTTCCCTTTTAATTCTACAGCTTAGCAGGTTCCAGGTGATGCCTCTGGCGCCACGTCTTCATTGATTTAACGAACACATCTGAAAAGCCAGAGCTCCAGATAAATTGCCAACAGCGTCAATTAGCTGCTAAGTGGCACCGCGCTGCATAACCGGTCCGTCTGCTGAGTGTGATAGTGACTGGGATGTTCTGAGAAGGTAGTGGCATGTTGTGTGACTTGTTTCTCTGTTTTACTGCCTCGTGGATCCTGTGTAGTTCTCACAGGTGAGTCTTTTGTTAGTTGAAGTAGAAAAACTTATTGGAGGAAATGTAAAAGTACAATATGAATGCAGACAGCTGTTGTGATGGACAGCCAGCTGAGACCGGACCAGACACCAGAACTGTCTGCATATTACAGCACGTGTGGCTGGAGATGGCAAAGAGAGTCACTTGAAGAGTTCATTTGAAAAATCAGATAAGTCAATTTTTGTAGATTTTCAGAAAACATATTTTTTGTTGTTTGCTTGAGATGTGATGTGACTTGAGATGACGACAACAGAGATAGCTCAGGTTTGACTGATGTTGTCTCAGCTGGACGATGGAGACGTGGGTTTTCTGGAGGTTTGTGGCGATGGAGTGATCTATTTTTGCAAATGAACTCTTCATTTATTCTGCTTATCTGAGACGATGTCTGCAGCTTCACATGTTTTCTGTGTTTTTAATTCAAACACTGAGCACTCGAAGCCACCTTTTGTGGACTTTGAATAGATGTCGTCCTAAAAGCAGCTCTCTTCAGCCTCTTCTCTCCTCTCTGAATAATCAATGAAGTGTTGAGGCTCTGTTTTGTTACATCGCCATGTGTGTTATCAGGAAAGTCCATTTACTGATGTGTTTCTCAGGACCTCTCGGATGAACTCCAGTCTCCACCGGTGATGTGTGTGAACGGGCCGGAGGACAAGCTGTTCCGCAGCCAGAGCGCAGACATCACCTTGTCTTCTGAGAAGGAGCGCATTAAGAAGATGCTCTCTGAAGGGTAACCGTCGTTCACACGCACATGAAAGCACAACGGAGATGTTTTCTTCTTCCTTTGCTCAGAGTCTAGAGTCACAGCCTGTGATGGGAACGCCTTTGTGAGCTGCTTGCTGTGCGTCGGTGTTCAGAGTCTGGTTTCAGGTGTTTAATGCTGCCTCGCAGACACACAGCTTCTCTCTGTTCTGATCTGCTGCTCGCAAAGTTTAACGCTGATTTGTAACAATGAGGAGATATACGCTGGATTCAAGGTTCCTCACCGGCTATAGAAACGGCGTCAGACATTTTTCACTGTCGTCGCCGGTGGATGTTGCTCAGTCGTCATGGAGATTTTTCAGCTGTTATTGCATGACCTGGTGTTGGATGTCATGTGATAGCAGATGATACCATGACAACTGGACACACTCCTCATGAAGCTCCAGTAAGATTCCAGTAAATAGGCCTTTTTAGGATTTGATTTTTCAACTGAAAAGATTTTTTTTTTTTTTTACAGTAAATTATTAAAGCTAGAATTCAGGACTTTTGCTTATAAATGAATGTATATGACATCAGTCTCTCTGTATTTCCCAGTATGCCAGAGTTTTAAATGTGCAGCGACATTCCTGAGTCCGTTTCACATGAAGCAGCAGTGATTCGTTTGTCAGACAGAAGAGCTGAGCAGACCACAGCAACCAGCAGTCCGGGCAGAACCGAGGGAAGGTCCACAAAAAGGTTCTGATGCTCCAGATAAAGTCAGAGTTTATTTACAGTCTAAATAAAGACAGCTACGTGTTCATCAAAGCATGCAGCGACAGAGCTTCTGTGTAATTACTGTCACTGCCTGAAGGGGGAGACAAAGGTCCCACGCTGCAAATTTAAAGCAATTACTTTCACATGTTTGGAAATAAGCGTTAGATGAAACACAAAGATGGATTCCATTCTTATGTCTGCACAGTAAATGTGAAGCTACAGCCAGAAGCTGCTTAGCTTAGCTTGGCATAAGGTCACAGACTTTAGTGGAAAACAGCTCCCATATGGATGGATATCTATCAGACCTATATCTCAGCCTACCCACTAGCACTTCCACAGGCCCCTTCTTAACATGTTGTCGCTCAAGAGGGACAGAAAGAGTCGGTGTGCTTCTGTAACAGCTCGTGCTGATGTGTCTCCACTAGAAGAGTCAGTGAATGATGCTGAAATGTGAGGATGTCAATGTATTCTGCCCAAATTCAAACTGGGAATCAGGATGTGAAAGATGTGCCATCATGAGTCGATGGGGACACTGCAGTTATGCAAATGATATAACTTTGTGAGGAGAACAGTCCAGCAGATGATACTCCTGGTTGCACGTGAACAGGTTTAACTGTCTGAGTGTCAACAGGGTTTTCACTTCCTGGTCTAATTACAGCACGACGTCATTCGATTTGATAAGACTTCTAGGAAATGAAGGGGCGCTGTGAAGGTGTTGACTCGTCTGTAACCTCAAACACGGAGGCTTGTCTGCGTCCCCCCACTCAGTGCTTTAAGCCACTCACAATGCTTTCATATCCTACAGTCCAATTATTACAGCAGAAAGCCTCTCTTGAATGGTTGCCATGGTAAACTGTTGCCAGGGACGACCTCAAGCTTTCCAGATGTAGAGGGACAGAACGATGACAAAGGATCAAAAGGAAAAGAGACTCTAAGCGATCCTGTCGACGGGCTGAGTAGAAATCGACTGAAATTTAATTATCTCATATGTCTCCTTCACAAGAGGCTATTGGCAGTGTGTAGAATAAACGTCTGATACACCGGGACTGATGCTGCACACAGTGGGGACGGGGCTCAGCTGTAGGTCACTCAGATGAACTGGAACTGAGGTCAGCGGGGATATTAGAACTATGATAGAACAAAGATGAAAAAAATATACTGAAATAGACAAAAGAAGAACATATTGAATGGCTTTTTTGTCACAGCAATCTACTGCGATCTGCTGATGCCAACAGATGTCTTGAGTTTGATGGTTCACCTTAGTTGAGGACACGTCGGTGCACATCCAGTCAGAAGGTTCGGTTCGGTCCAATCGGCTGCTCTCTGGGGGTTTTCATGACTGCATGTTTGCTTTGCCATAAGATCTGTGCAGTGACCTTCACTCTGGACTGTAGGACTGCTGCTGTGGGCTGCAGTCCGACATGCAGCCTCCTGAACGCGTGCAGTGGGCTGGTGGTCGTGTTCAGCAGGCCATCAGGGTTTCATCTGCTCCACAGACTCGGCAGCTGTCACTCCAGCCAGCTATTGTATTCATCCTCATAACGCAACGCTTTATGTAAGACTTGAAGAGTGAACTCAGATGATCTCTCCATTTCAAAGATAAGTCGATAAAAGGCATCCATGTGGCACACCAAGTAGTTTACACAGTCACATTTCCACATCATGGAGTTCATCTCAAAACCAACATTTGATCTATTTTAGCCAACGATCCCGATCATGTCACTCTTGTGTTGAAGCCATCTTTTAAATCCCTCGTGCTCTGGTTAAACTTTGTGTCAGTTAAGGTCCAAATGTCACTAACACTGACTGAAACATCCATCCGTCTGCTGTACGTCATCCTGTAGAGCGCCATGAGGGGCTGCAGCTCATCGTAACCGACGCTATTCAAGAGGCGGAGTGCAGTTTATCGCAGGGTGAAGACGCAAACAACCTTGCATGGTCACATGCTGTCAGCCAGTTTAGGAAACACCTGTTAACCTTCCATCTTTGGACTTTAGGAGGACGCTAAAGCACACAGAGACAGCGGCAACACGAACCGCTGCTCCACTGTGCTGCTGCTTCTCTAAATGAGCTATTCATGCAGACGTTGCAGTGTGATCCATGCATAGTTAGAGTCTGGGCTCCAACTGCACTTAGTGGACAAACTCTCCAAGCTCATCTGACCAAAACAGCAAGTTTTCCTAAAAGTCCAAGTAGAAATTGTTCTGGAGTGTTCTGTTCTTATTACATATCTTCATCTTGCCTAGTTGTCATGAACTTAGAAATGTTCACATTTTCATCCTTTTTGAGCAATTTTGGAGCTTCTGTTCCATGCTGGTGTAAAAAAAGTACAATAATAATGTTCCATATGAGCCATGTCATCATACAGCTGACAGCATCTGCACAGCGCTGCATATGATGCTCATATATCTCTGGTGTTTGTGTCTTTCAGGTCCATTTGTGAGATGAACCTGGAAGCTGAGCTCTTCACTCTGCAGGACAGCAACTCCAAGTTGGTGGCAGCTTTGCACGAGGCTAATGCTAACGTAGAGCAGTGGAAGAAACAGCTGGCAGCGTATCAGGAGGAGACCGAGAGGCTCCGAGAGCAGGTGAGGCGGTTTAACACTGACGCTCAGAGGGCAAGTGTGTGTTTACCCTGAACGCTGAATTATCTGTCAGTAAACCAACATCAACCAAAAGTTTCCATCACTGCAGTGTTCGCCACAGACCGGGGAAAAACACAGGGAGTTAATCTGCACAGCTTCATGTCAGTATTGTTCTAAATGTCTGACCATCGGTGATTCAGGACAGAGCAGAGAGCAGTGTTTGAAAGCTCAGCAGCTGATCACAGCCAGCATGTCCAACAGATGTAGTCAGTGGGGCTTTAACCACTAAATAAACTAAATGTCAATGATTTTGATAATCGTTTAATAGTTAGATTTTTTAAAGAAAAAAAGGCAAAATGCTCTGATTGCAGCTGTTTAAAAGTCAAACACTTCCTGATTATTTCACTCATTCACTGACAGTAAACTGAAGGGAGACGTTTGAGGGATTAAAGAAGAAGATAAATGACAGATTACCTGACTATGACAATAAACATGAGCCCTAATAATCAGTATTGGGCTCCCTGGAACATGAACCTGTCCTGAAGCACACATGCACCTACTGCCGCTAAGAGTCACCACTCAGTACCATGTGTCCATCACTGCATGTCCCACATCACAAATATCCCACTGAATTTAGTGTCCCTGTCCTTATATCTTCCTCAGCTGCTCCCTCTAACTTGGCACGTTAAATTAGTTTTACTGTGACACCACTGAATGGAAACCAGGGATTTGCCTCTTCAGGGACTTTTAAAGCAGATGGTTCAGAGCTGCTTTGGACAGAAAAATGCATGTTTAAGGTTCAAGGTCTTTTATTGGTCACAAACACAGTTATAGATGGTGTGAGGCGCAGTGAAATGTGTTGTGTCCCTGTTCCACAACAAAACAATAATAATAGATAAAGACAAATAAGAATAAGGAACAGAACACACCAGAAGTAAATATACACATATATATGGAGAGAGAGAGATTTCTGCATGTTATTATTCGACAGTTTGTGTGTAAGCATGAAACCCAAACCTTAGACAAAATGTTCTCGATGCCGCATAAGTTCAAATCAAGATGAAGTGAAAACTCTTATATCTGAGAGCTGCCTGCTCTGGGCTTCATCCAGCGGTCCAAAGACAAAGGTGATGTCTAAATTTCCCAGATGGTGTCCTGCCTCTGACCCAAGGCATGCTGGGTAGGACCACCGCCTCCTGCAACCATCAACACAATGAGCAGTTCAGAGAGTGGAGAGAGGAGCTGCTACATGACAAAGCTTTCGTAGCAACGTTGACCTCGATACCGTATATTTACTGGAATAATGACGCACCATCACCAGCCGTTCAGATACGAGACACTTCTGGTGACTGAAAACTTAAACTGGGCCAAAGAAGCTTTCCTGCGTTACGAGTCGAACACTGGAAAGTAGTTGTTTTCTCTTGTGACTCCTGGAGTCCTTTGGCCTCTTTGCATAGATCTATTGTGTCCTGCAGGATGGGGCTCAGGCACGATTAGCAGTTCTGAAGCTCTGCAGCAAGAACAGGCAGTCAGGAAAGCTCTGCACCAACAGGAACAAGGTGAAGGAGATGGGACTCGACCTGCCGCTCGGTTGTTGTCAGTAACGACTGAGCTTTGATTAGGCTCTGCTTTTTAGACGCTTCATTTCCCTGGTTTGAAAGTTCAGAAACAGAAGTCAGGCCGCGAACACACCTCATTGTTCTTTAACTTGTGCTGCAGGCGTTTTCCCTCCAAAGCTCTAATGGAGGTGCCGGTTTAACAGGTTCACACGTCCCTTCAGCCACAAGGGAGTCGGGTCTAAGCACCGCGAGTCTCTGGAGGGTTTCACACCTGAATGACCTGTCAGGTTCCAGAGAACACCGATGCCTCCGCCCTCTCTGTCCCCACTCATCAATAAAAGGTATTTTCACGTTTGCTGGTGGCTGATTCCTCTGAGACCGACCTCGCCTCAGGCTGACAATTAGGAACTGCTCTGATTCAACGCTTTAACACTTCGATCTTTTTCCATTACAGGCTGGTCTTACAGTATCGATCAGCACTCTTTGCCTCTCGTTTGGTGTTTCAACCGTTTTCACTATTTCGGTCCACATCAACAAATTAATTCATATGTGTTAGAAGAAGCACGTCTCCTTTGGACCGAGCTAGTTCCCCGTGTCTGAGCAAAGGGACCAGCTGGCTGAAAATGGTTCATGTCTCCGGGGTGGTGCGAGAGGAAGAGGGGTTTGTAGGACAGCAATATCCTACTTTCAATGCCCCAGTTAGGAAAAAATGAAAAATCACCAGAGGGAGCTGGCATCTACTCGCTTTTCATTTCTCCCCTATCTTTCCAACACTTCTCCTCGTCTTAACCATGTATGGTTTAAAATAATCCAGTCTGTCAGTCGTGCAGCGCTGGGGGCATCTTTAGAGGTGTCCTTCTGTTTTTGTACATTTCTGATTCATGGGGCAAATGACAATGTCGGGTGGATTTTATTCCTGAAGTAGAAACTTACAGGTGCTAGAAAAGTTGAGTCATCTGCAGATTTAATAGGAAGTTGCACAACTTTCCCGGAAAACCTGAATCCTGTTGAGTGATCAGCGGTTTTGCTGTGAGAACTATTACGTGTTGAGCAGTTTTGATCTATAAAGAGGCCTTTTTGACATTTTATTTGTATGCTAAGATCACTAAGAAGGTATCAAGAAGAGTATTTTGGATTTTTGCTGTTAATATTTTGCACAAGACTTTGAACCTGACTAGAGGCCAGTTTACTTTAATGCTGGTCAGTCTGTGCCCTATTGGATGGATTATCATTTGATTTAGATGCTAAAAGAATGAGTTGTGATGAACGTGGAGATCCTCCAGAGCGACTGTGAGGTTCACATCTGTAGTGAAGTTTCTCATCAACTAACGGATTGAATCTCCTGCTGCAGTCATTCAGGTTTTTGTTAGGATGGATTATAACTTTGGTTTCTCATCTTGTGCCATCATCAGGTGAAAAATTATTAAATACGTAGATAATAAATTCCCACTGTTAGTAACAATAAGCAGATGTTATCCAGTTATCCCACTGAATTAGAATGATGAGCGTGATCAACGTGACACGACTGAATCCAGAAATCCAGCGTCTATGAACGTGCTGATGGTTGCGTTCAGTAAAAGCTCTGCTGCGTCAAAGTCGACCTCACAGTTGTTAAAATGACCATAAACTCTCTGTGTTGTTTAACATATCACATAGTGTTGTGCCAAACACTCATGAGTCTTCATTTTTAGTGGATAGAAAGTTGTGCTCCTCAGTCCTGCTGAAGTTTCAGGTTTCTGGCCAACAGTTGTAGATCAAGGTGATACCTTCATGTGCAAATTAGGTTCGTGGTGAATTTGTGTCTGAATTCTGGCTAAATCTGGGGAAAACACTTGTCAGACATTTGATTTTTTAAGCTTTTGCAGCAGTTTTCTTTTGGATCCATACATTTATTAGCTACTTCATCCTTAGAGGTCACAGTGGGGCTGCACCCTCTCTGGATAAGAGGTGATGTTCACCCTGGACCGGCCGCCTGTTCATCACAGGGCTCATGTAAAGAGACAGACGACCATTCATGCTCAAATTCACAATTTAGAATCACCATGTAAACTATAATATCTTTGGACTGTGGGAGGAAGCCGGAGCACACAGAGGAAACCTACATGGGTCGACCTTCAGGCAAACCACTGAAAGTATCAACAGAATCAATCTTGAGAGGTCAGGAAGGTTACCTGAAGGTTCTGAAGGTTTCCTGGAGGTTATTAGAAGTTTACCACAGCTGGTAGACAAATCACTGGTGAACACTTTTGCCAGGAAGTTTGTGTAAATATGTTTGTTTCAGTGTTAATCCATCAAAAGGATTTCTTAATCTAAGAATGTGAACGCTGTGAGGTGCCAACCAATGTGAGCTTCAAAATGAAATATTTCTGGCTAACGCCTTCATAAGGTTGGGTCAAGCTGGACACCACCCTTATTAGCCAATATAGCTGAAAACTTGAACTAAAGCTCACTCTGGTTTACGCTTTCCTGTGTCTGGAGCAGAACAAGAGGTTTGAGTGGAACAGATGGTGTCTGGGCCACATGCAACACATTTATGTGTTTTTAAGCTTTGGCCCATTTACCAAAAACGGACTTGTGTGTTTTGTAAGGTGGTTGAGCTGGAGACCCACGGAGGCCATGGCCCCAGCGACCTGTTGAAGGATGAGCTGACTCAGTCCCTGGAGGAGCTGGAGGCCCTGCTGAAGGCCAAAGATGAGGTTGGACATTGTTTGTAGAAATGTGTTGATGCATGGTTCAGCTGCACCAGATAACAAGGAAACCATGATGCATCATCTTAACATCATCTCTGACTTCCCCTCCAGGAAATCCACATTTTGCAGAGTAAGAAGGCAGAGTACCACGACATGGAACACGACCGGGACGAGGCCATCCACAGACTGCGGGTGGGAGTGACGTCCTTACAGCGTTGTTTGCTTTCACTCGTTATCGTGAAAGCTCATAACGAGCTTTTCTCTCCCGTTCGCTGCAGGAGATGGAGATGCGAAATTCGGATTTGGAGCGTCGCATCCAGAACACGGAGCAGAACCTGAGTAACTCTCTGGAGGAGCGAGATCGCATGGATTCTGAGATCCAGCGGGCCATAGAAATTCTGGACATCAAGATCTTTGACCTTAATGACCTCCGCCAGAGCCTTGTTAAACTTATTGACAAGTAAGACGGACAAATGGCAAAACGCAACCCCCTGAGAGAGGCGGAGCAGACGACCGCAGTGGTGAGCAGCCAACGGTCCCTGTCGTCCTCAAGCACAAGAACCACGCCGGCGGCAGGAAGGCGACTCCATGTCTGTGCTGTGTTCAACAACATGCTGTAGGTGCAGCAGCACAAACATGGCAGCGCCTGTCCAAGCTAATGTAACGCTTTGTGTTGCTTTCAAGGGTAACATTCAATGCAATAAACCAAGTGTAAGGTAAGTGCTTAACGATGCTAGATACTCAGTAATAAGAACTGGTGCTTGTGTGTTTTGTTTTCATAGGTATGACTTTTGTACACACTATGGCGATGCAGTGTCCATGTGAAAGATAAGAGGCCTTGGTTTTTCATCTTTACAAGAAAACACGTCTGTAGGAACAGTGTGAATGCAAAAAAATACATATTGCACAAGATGAAGTTACTTTTTGCCTATTTAAGAGCCTGCATACGACATAATTATCACAGAATTAACAGTTAATACAAGTTTGATTTGAGGTAAACTTAAGGTCTTGTAGTTATCGTTCATCATATAGCTGCTATCATGTCGTGTTATGTGACGGGCAAATGTTAGTCGGGAGCTTCTCCACAGCAACAAGCAGCGATAAAAGGCCAGAGAAACAGTGAGCTGACAGGGTGATTCAAGAACACAACATGAACAGCAGATCTGAGTACTGACACCAAAGATCAGGTGTTGAGAGCTGAGGAAATAATAGGGCCTTTTAGTAGCTCGTCTCTTCTTGCATCTTCATCTACGCTGGTAAGAAACCTTTAATCCTTTAATAAGTTACAGTAACTCTTAATAGACAGGGTACATAGGCAATTAAAATTAGGATAAATAACGGTTTTCCTCATGATAAAAACCATGAATGCTATAGTTATGAAGTAACCATAGGACGATTAAACTCATCACTTAGTCTTACTGATTAAGCGGCTTTTGGATTGAACATCATCCCACTAACTTATTAATAAGAGCTCCACATCTTAATAAACACACTGCTCTGATTGATGCGTTCAAGGAAACTTAAGAGACATTTTCTGCCTTCTGTCATTTTCAAGCACATCACCTTCAGCTGTGGACAATACGTCGTAGGCCTTGAGAGTGTAGCTGTACTGTATGAACCATGAATTCACTTCAACAGTGCAGAACTCCTCCTTCACGCAGACTGTATGGTCTGAGATGGTCTGTAACGCTATGTTTGTATGATTTCTTTCTTTCCAAGCCTTACTGTTCTGTTTTAAGGATGGTTGTGGACAGTCATGCCAGCTCTGTGTCTCCAACTCTGAGCTGTTGTCATGGTGGTTTGGAAATAAAAGCAAAGCATACGGTCACACCAAAGCACTGTTTGTGTTTGTTTTTCTTGAACCATATCCATCCATCATCTCTACACCTTAATCCTGACTAGGGTCATGGGGGGCGGAGCCTATCCCAACTGACTCAGGGTGAAGGCAGGTTCACCTGGACAGGTAACCAGTCTATCACAGGGCTACACTTAGAGACAGTCAACCAAGCACACTCACATTCACACCTACGGACAATTTACAATCACCAATTAACCTCAGCATGTTTCTGGACTGTGTGGGAGGAAGCTGGAGAACCCGGAGAGAACCCACGCTGCACGGGGAGAACATGGCGACTCCACGCAGAAAGATCCTGGGTGTCCTCACCGGGACGCCAACCAGCAACCTTCTAGCTGTGAGACCACGGTGCTAACCACCGAGACACCTGCAAAGTGCACGTTTCACAGCAGCAAATAACATAAAGGGATCATTTCTTTCTTTCTGCTCCAGTGAACAAACATGAAAACAAGCTTGTCTTCCTGATGATTTGGTTTCTGCTCACGTTTTTCTTTGGCTTATCATCTGTTAGTTTTCATAAGAGAAGGTCTGGGACATTATAGGTCATTTACAGTCTAATGTGACCATGCTTGTTGTCTACTTTAGCTCCACTTTTGCTCCACCTGGTGGTGAGCGTCTCCACTGCAGTGACTCTATGCACCTCAACACTTGCCAGTCTGCCTGACAACTACTGGCACAGGCAGCTTCAGAGCCCAAGCAGCACAAAGAGCAACTTTCAATCAAAACATTTCAGCTTGCTCTTACGGTTTTGACTTCTTGCACCTTTGAAATAGACGAAGTCGCACCAGAAATCTGCGCTCTGCTAAAGAAGCTTTGCATCAAAAGTATAAACAGCTCATATCATCAGCTCATTACTCCTGTTCAGAGATGTTGTGTTTGACAGTTTTACCGTGTGCTGCATAAACTCTTCTTTAGAAGGACTGCATGTCGACAGCCACTGGCCTCTGTGCTCTCACCTCTCTGAGAATGAGTCTCGTACAGAAACTATGCTGGGTTTGTTTCCATACTTGCAGCAGACCATCTTGTCACCATCATACTTCTGAGCCAGAGATGATGCCCCTCTCAGACACAGGACCAGGTGGGCTCTGAGGGAGGAGACTAATAAATGTGCAAATAACCATCATGTAAAAATGCTTAAAACATGAAACACAGCTTGACACGTTGAACATACCCTTCAGGATGTCATAGTCTGACACGGTGCGTCCATCCTCAGGCTGGAAAAGATGAGACGCTGCTGGATCAGAGGGGAATGCCTCGAAAAGAGAGAAAACAGACACGGACAAATGTGACTTTAGACCAGATGTAGAAGACAATGTTAAACGTTACAGCTGCTTCTCAGTGCAAATAACATGAACTGAACCCTGGTTCACATACAGCTGCTCTACAAGAGCCAATAGGTATGTGACACCGGATCACTTTAGATATGCAATTTGTCCTTATTTAAAAATAAATTAGATCAGAACTATGATTATTTATGTTGATAGAGGGCGCAGCAATGAAACATTCTGTATTTTATTTAACTTAAAGTGTAGAACATCTGGGCTGCAGGTGTCTCAGTGGTTAGCACTGTGGCCTCACAGCTAGGTCGCCGGTTCACATCCCGGTGAGGACACCCGGGATCTTTCTGCGTGGAGTCTCCATGTTCTCCCCATGCAGCGTGGGTTCTCTCCGGGTTCTCCGGCTTCCTCCCACAGTCCAGAAACATGCTGAGGTTAATTGGTGATTGTAAATTGTCCGTAGGTGTGAATGTGAGTGTGCTTGGTTGTCTGTCTCTAAGTGTAGCCTGTGATAGACTGGTTACCTGTCCAGGTGAACCTGCCTTCACCCTGAGTCAGCTGGGATAGGCTCCGCTCCCCATGACCCTAGTGAGGGTTAAGGTGTAGAGATGATGGATGGATGGGTTCCATATTGAAACGCATATATACCGAGCTGATAGCATATGGTTGTTTTTATCTTTGTAGTTTCATATCAAAGTGTTAAACAGCATACACACCTGGAAAGACCATGTATTTCATGTTAATCTTGAGGTTCCAATGATTCCTATAACACTTAATTAGTTATGATGGAACAGTTGAACATATCTTTGTTCAGGAAAACAATGGCTCCAGTCTTCACCAGGATCTTGAACAGGTCCCTGGAGCAATGTGAAGTCCCCTCTACCTTCACACATTCAACAGTCATACCGGTTCCCAAGAAACCCTCCATCACAGGACTGATGGACTACAGACCAGTGGCTCTGACATCTGTGGTCATGAAGTTGTTCAAGGAACTGGTGTTGAGCCACCTGAGGTCCTCTGCTGGACCCCCTGCAGTTTGCCTATCGGGCAAACAGGTCAGCGGATGATCCAGTCAGTCTGGGGCTGCACTACATCCTGCAACATCTAGATGGCCCTGGGAGCTACGCAAGGATCCTGTTTATGGACTTCAGCTCAGCTTTCAGCACCATCATCCCTGGAATCCTCTCCACCAAACTCTCCCTCCTCAATGTGTCTCCCTCCATCTGTCAGTGGATCACCAGCTTTCTGACAGACAGGAGTCAGCAGGTGAGGATGAGAGACATTACCTCTACAACCCGGACTGTCAGCACTGGCGCCCCCCAGGGGTGTGTCCTGTCTCCACTTCTCTTCTCCCTCTACACCAACGACTGCACCTCCAAGCACCCATCTGTCCAACTCTGGAAGTTTGCAGACGACACTCCAGTCATCGGCCTGATCCAGGATGGTGGCCAGTCTGCATATCGGCAGGAGGTTGAGCGGCTGGTGTTCTGGTGCAGCCAGAACAACCTGGAGCTGAACAAGCTCAATACTGTGTAGATGAGTGTGGACTTCAGGAGACAGCCCTCACCACTGCTCCCCCTCACCATCAGCAGCAGCCCTGTGTCAGCTGTAGAGGCCTTCAAGCTCCTGGGGACGACAGTCACCCAGGAGCTGCAGTGGGAGAAGAACATCCGCTGCATCCTTAGAAAGGCTCAGCAGAGGATGTACTTCCTGCGACAGCTGAGGAGACACGGCCTGCCCCAGGAGCTGTTGATTCAGTAGAAGCTGTCCTGTGCAGCTCCATCACTGTGTGGTCTGGAGCAGCCACACTGTAGGACAGAAACAGGCTGCAGCGCACAGTCAGAACAGCTGAGAAGATCATGGAGCCCCCCTGCCCTCCATCCAGGACCTGTGCTCCAGTAAAACCAGGAAGAGGGAACATCATGACAGACCCCACTCATCCTGGTCATAAACTGTTCTCCCTCCTCCCTCCAGCAGGCGGTACAGAGTCCTGCAGACTAAACCCAGCAGACATGAGAACAGTTTTTATCCCACTGCCATGACGCTACTGACCAGCTGAGCTGTTCTCAGATACAACTGTTATTTGCACAATGTACGTATATTTTCAGCTCAGATGTGTAAATTCTTGTATATATTTGTCTTATTATCTTGTTTTATGTTTTATTATTTATTGTATTTTATTTTGATTCTTTTCTTTCTGTACTCATTCTACTGTATTTTTTTAATTTTCCTGTTGCTCATTCCCAGGGCGACGCCAACAGCCCAAGCCCAATTCCTTGTATGTTGTGTAGGTACTTGGCCATTAAAGCTGATTCTGATTCTGATGTAGAAGAAAAACAATGACTGAAATGAATTAACTGACTCTGCTTTAAGAAAACTGTCCCTGACAAAATGCTTTGTATTGAAAAAGAAAAGGAAAAGGAGAGGACCTGGAGCACCGTGCGCTGCTCATCCTCTGAGCTGAGCTGAGCTGAATCTAGTCAGAGAGCTGAGCAACGGAGACGCTGGCGGCTTCATATACGAGTGACAGCGAGGACACTCAGACGCAGCGGCGGGGAGAGGAGGCTGCATGCATATGGTCTACTGTATGACTCTGGGATAAACAGCTGATGTCAGGGTCTCCTAGCAACCATTTCCCTCAATCTATGTTTCAGTTACCAACAAATAAGACAATAAAACTTCCTCCACCCCTCCATCTCATGCACGCAGTGAATTACTGTAACAGCAGCACTGTCATAGGGAGGAAAGAAAATAAAAGTTATTTTAAAAACTACATGCGATTACAAATAGCAGGCAATTTACTTTGGACCAAAAATACATTAGAATAAATTTCAAGCAGTGGTATTTATCTGAAAAAGTTTAATTAGATGATCAGTTGACTATATGTGGTCAAAAAGAATGAAGCAAAAAACTTTCCAGTAAAGATATACAGGGCTTAATAAATCAATTTCAAACTGAATTCACCTTTTTATACCCAAACCTGAGCCAGCTCACTGAGAAATGAATCAAGCAGGACATTCAACCACATGTTTCTGTTCAGGAACGCAAGTAAATAACTTTGACATCTGAATCAAGAAATAATAATGCGCTTCATTATTTTTTCTGTTTTTTCTTTTTTCTTTTAGTAAAACAGCAAATTGGAAAATTCCTGGATAACAATAATAATTATTTTTTTTAGCATTAAAAACATCATTTGGGTTAAAGAGCTTCTACATACTGGTGTTTAACTATTACAGAGACATGAGAAATGATACATTTAGGGCAGCTGTGGCATAAAGCTGACACTGGGTGGAGGTCTAATACATCTGTTAAGCACCGTACACTAAATACAGCCTGCCATGAATGTACAGTTGTTCAACCATAAGCTCAGTTTTCAAAATACATTTCACTTTACCAAAGTGGCAGATTTCATACAACCGGTAGGCTTCTGTTAGCCTGTATCTCTCTTTATGGGACGCTTTAATGGAAGGAACGCACCATCCAAACCAAAACTGTGAAGCGACTGACTTTTCCCAAACAAACACCAATGTGCAAGCAAATTATCTATTTATAAATGTATATCATGTGCACACGACTAGACCAGCATGTACCGTCATATGCAGGAACAGATTCTGGTGTGGATGTCCAGATCACGTCTCATGCCTCCGGTCCGATCTGAGTCGTTAAATATTAATTATTTGCCAATATCCAGACCCACCAATGT